TGACCTCTGTGGCATTGCATGACACGGGTGCACTCACATACATGCAGGCAATACACTCATACACATAAAATAAAAATAATAAAATATTTTTTAAAAAGCATTTTAATTTATTTTTATTTTATGTGTATGAGGGTTTTGCCTACATGTGTGTGAGTGTACCATGTGTGTGCAGTGCCCTCAGAGAACAGAAGAGGGTGTTGCATTCCCAGGAACTAGAGGTACAGACTGCTATTAGCCTCCATATGGGTTCTGGGACTTGAACCTGATTCCTCTGGAAGAGCAGCCAGTGGTTTTAATCCCAGAGCCATCTCTCCAGTCCTGTGAATTTTCACAATACTCAAATCCATATGTAATGTTCTTTTTAAATTTTGAGGTAGGGTCTGAGTGTATAGTCCAGGCTGACCCTCAGATTCACCATCCTCCTCCCTCAGCCTCCAGAATAAGATTTGCCAACACACTAGGCTTGAAATTACCTTCTTTTTAAGTTTTTAAAAATATTGTGTGCTTGTGTGCTAAAATGAGCATGTGGAGGTTGCAGAATTTTCGGGAGGGTTTAAAAAATTACGTATATGTATGTATGTATGTATGTATGTATGTATGTATGTATGTCTGTCTGTCTGTCTATAGGGGTGTGTGTGTGCATGCCACATGTGTATGTGTGAAAGTCAGAGGACAACTTGTGAGTCATTTCCCTCCTTCTACCATGTGAGTCCCAGTGGCTAAACTCAGGTTGACAGGCTGGTGGCCAGTGCCTTTACACACTGAACCATCTCAACAGCCCCAAATTACCTTCCTATGTATGCATTTATTCTCCACCTCTCACTTAGAGCACAAACTTTGTGAGTTGTTCATCTATCTGTGATGCAAGGGATACAGTGGGTACTCAATAAATACTGGAGCAATGAATGAGTGAATGAATGAATGGTCTCTGGCTGAAAGGTGTGGGGTGGTATGGGTGCATCTTTGCCAGGTCCTTGGGCACCTAGGCACCTTTGCCTAGTGCACAAGCATCCTTGGAATGCTGAACAGAACATGAAATTCCACCTTTGATCACCAGGTGTCACTCATGTCACATAGGGAGCCACAGATAAGCTGGTTCTGAGATTCCAACATCATTTGGCCAGTTAGAGATGCTGCCCACCAACTTTGGCCTTGGTGGCCTGAAAGGCCAGTTGTGCGGGACCATTCAACATCAGTCATACTGGTGCCTCCTCCCAGATTGCAGCCCCAACAGGAGAGCTCAGTTGGTCCCACAGAGCAAACAGCTCCTGGCCTCTGCTCCAGGGGTACCCACCCAGCTCTGTTTGCTAGGGCTCAGCTAGGGGTGCAGGCTTCAAGCTTCAGGGGTCACCTCAAGATGTATCTTCAGGCTGACCGCGATCTTACAGAGTTCCATCTGCCTCTGCCTCCTGAGTGCTAGGATTAAAGGCCACCATGTCTGACCCCCACCCCCAAGATCTTACTAGCTTACTTGCTAGCTTGGCTGATTTGACCTTCAGCCTACATAACTGAGTTCCGTCATGTCTCATTGCCCTGTACCCTTGCCCTGTGGGTGTCTGGCTCCTGTGGAGGGCCAGAAGATTTTGTCTTCTGCCTTTGTCTCAAGGAGATGGCTGCTTACCAGACAGGGAGGGTTGTGGGGTTCAAAGAAAGGGTGTGCTGTGGGTGTGTGTGCGTATGTGCATGCATGACACCAGTGTACACTCCTCACAGCACTGCCTCAGGACTTGTATGCAGTCCCACTGTTAACATTTGCACATGGCAGGCATCTCATTGGGCTCCCAGCCTTTTCCAGCCTTTCATTTGCTGAGCGACCTTGTCCTTACTTGGCCTCCATTTCTTCATCCAATCCATCCATTGAATAATTGACTCTGGGGTCCTTTGATTTCCATATGACAGCAACCCACTGGGGATGCCATTTTGGCTTCTTTTCTGTTTTATTTATTTTTTAGACATGATTTCATATAGCCCAGGCTGGCCTCAAACTCTATATAGTTCAAGATGACCTTGAATTTTGGATCCTCCTGCCTCCACTTGAGTGCTGGGATTGCAGGTGTGCAGCACCACACACAGTTTATGTGGTGCTGGGGATAGCTTTACACATGCTAGGCAAGTGCTCTACCAACTAAGCCACATCCCCAGCCCCTTGGCTTCTCTTCTAGATAGAAGGTGAGGAGGAGAGGGACAAAACCTGGGGCTCCTGATAGCTGGTGGCCTTTTCTAAACATTCTCAAGGCCATGATATCCTTTGAGAATGTCGGTGACTGAAGCTTTGTCCAGAACTCAGTGGAGTTTGGTTTGTCTCCTGTGTGGCTCTTTAAACCCCCAGAGTACTTGACTTAGATGGTTTTGGAAACACTTCCTAACAAAGGCAGGACAGGGATGGTCACAGTGGTGTCCCTTTACACAGGGCATTCCAAGACGCCAGTGGATGTCTGGAACCTCTGATGATAGTCAAGTGCATATGGTACTGCCTTCCCACCTTTACTAAGCAAGCATCACACACAGGGGTCATGATGTTTGCTGTCTGAACTGGCAGAAATTTCTTTTACCTTCTTTGCAATTTCACCAACTAAAGGAGCATTCTTAATAAAGATCTTAGTCACCTCCATATACAATATTCTCTCATTATTAAGTCAAGAACTTTCACATTTATTATCTACACTTTCCCTGTGATGCTAGAGATGGAACCCAGGGCTTTGTGCATGCAAGGCAAGTGCTCTTCCACTGCAGCATGCTTCTAGGCAGGTGCTCTATCACTGAGCCACACCCCAGCCCCTTACTGGGGGATTCTAGGCAGATGCTCTTCCATGGAGCCACACCCCCAGCCCCTCATGGGGGATTCTAGGCAGGGTGACTATACTGAGCCATGGCCCCAGCCCCTCACGGGGGGATTCCATGCAGAGGCTCTACACTGAGCCACAGTTCCATCCTTTCACTGGCCAACTCTAGGCATGCCTCTACCACTGAGATATAGTCCCAGCTCACATGTTTCCATTAGAAGGAACCACTTCATATTTCTCTTTGGCACACTTGAACCTCCAACATTGCTCTTCTTGGGACCTTTTAGTAAGCAAAATCAGGGAAACTTGAATAAGCACTGAGATCCCATGATCTGATATCAGAGTCAGCTCTTGATTAACTGGAGGGTAGCATACACAGGACAGATTCGCTGGACAAAGACATGAACTGCAATCTTCATGGGATGTGTTGGGAAACCCTGCTGTTAGGGTTGTAGTTCTCCATGTCCGGATAGCCCTAAGGGGCTCGGCGCCCAATGGAAGGACTCCCCTTTTCAGCAGGGGGCCTCCTGCTCTCTTCCTGGCTTACCTGGAAAGTGCCACCAAGCACGGATGCCTGACCTTATTTGGAACATGACCTTTGGCATAGTTACCTGGAGTAAAAACTACCCCCAGGTTTTTTCTATATGATAATCAGGCATTGCCTGATAGTCTGGAAGATAGGAGCCCACTGCCACATGTAAATAAAGCATACTATGAGCACCTATCAGCTGAGGCTTTGGCTACTGCCTCCACACTATAATTTCTCTAGTTCTCCCACTGAATAAACAGAGCTGTTTCACTGTGTCTGGAGCTGTATCACTGCTGTTTCACTGCGCCTGGGACCAGCCTCCCCGGAAGGGCTTTCTTCCGTCAGTGCTCACTGGCTGTCCTGACCCCGTTCATCGCTTCTGCTCCCCCTGCCCTCGTGGATCATGGATCGGTGGCCAACGACCCACAAAGAGAGGGAGAGACCCCCGCAGGGATGGAGTTGGTTCAGCGTGGTGCACCGTTTCAAATTTGAAATAGTTTTTGGGTTATTTTTCACTTTTGTACACAGGGTCTCACCATATAGCCTCCTGCCTCAGTTTCCCAAGTACTGCAATGACTGGCATGTGCCCCTTTTTCCAGGGAAGCAGGAGTGAGACACATGAAGACATATACCATGCAGTCACATGTGTACACACCCCATATGGAGTCACACACATGTCCACATACCATATAGTCACATACATACATACCCACATACACATTCTGCATGGAGTCACCACATAGCCACATAAACACATCCATGGAGTCACCTATATCACATCATAGTCATGTACACACATAGGGAGTCACACACATATTCACATACCATATAGTTATACACACACAGAGTCACACATATGTACACACACCACATAGCCACACAATGTCCACATACTATATAGTTATACACACACAGTCACACACATATCCACATACCAAACAGTCCATAAAAATATCCATACACCATATGATCACACACACATATGCACAGAGGGAGTCAGACACATGTATATTCATCATATCCCATGTGCACATGCACCCCCCCATCATGGATCTGTGACCTAGACCCCCTCTCCTCTGGAAATAGTGATTTGGTCTGGCCCAAGTAGAATGATACACCCAAGGACTGTCTCCTGGTGTGTGCCCCAGACGCAGGAGCTGGTGGCCCTGCTTGACCCATAGAGACCTGGTTGCCTGGGACATGGAGGCACAGCCCCAGTCAGCTGTGGTGTGGGAGGTGCTTAGAGGGTCCAGCCTGGGCTCTCTTGAGCGCTGGGGCCTGCTGGTGACTTTTTAAGATATTTGTGCCAATAGACCTTTTTCCCTTATCTTTTGAGCCAGAAACACTTTTTTTTTTTTTTGTTTTTTTGAGACAGGGTCTCCCTGTAGCCCCAGCTGGCCTGGAACTCACTATGTAGACCAGGCTGTTTATTCCTTGGTAAACTCCAGCCTTTTTTTTCCCCCCTACAGTAGGTGTTTTTTATTACTTTCATATTCTGAAGCAGTTCATGACCAGCATTGTGCTTTGGGGACTTTTTTTCAAAATGTAAGTGAAAGCATTTCTTTAGGGAAAAGGCACATGTTCACTGAATAGGTAGGAAAGCTCTACACCTGCCCCTTCCCCTTCTTGGGGAGCAGCGCCTACGGGGACCCATCCTGGCACCCTAGAAGCTTTCAGAAAAGTGGCCCTTAGCCTCCCTGACCCTGTTCTTGTCCCCCTTCCCTGGCAGCTGGGATGAGGGCAGCACTCCTCAAAGCCTGTTTGATCTTCAGGTCCTTCAGGGCTGACTCCAGGCTCTTCACCTCCCAGATGCTCAAACCACCACCCAGTGGTGCAGAACTTAGAGCACTTGGCCTTGTCCAGGCTCAGCACTGAGGCTTGGCTGACGCTGTTCTTGTGCAGGGAGTCCAGGCCTGCGCCCGAAGTTGGGCCGCCCTCCGAGCCGACCTTGTGGAGGTTCTGGAAGTGGTCTCGTCCAGCCTGCCAAAGCTCAGCTTCCCTGCAGCGCTGTCGTAGGGAGACAGCATTGGGAAGCAGTTGTGGCCCACTGCCACTAAACTTGTTTTCTGTCATGAAGGTGATGGCAGTGTTTTAGAGGCCAGGGTTGGCATCTGCCAGGCACACAATGCTGTCATGGCTGACCCAGGCCACACGGCTCCCAGGCTGAGAAACAAACACCGTGCACCCAGCCGCAGCTGCTGCTGGACTCAAACACCAGCTCCCCAAAGCGCATTTTGGAGCCCCAAGGTGTGGGGGCTGGTCGTTTTTCCACCTCCTTGATGTAGGCTGAGAAGATCTTGCACTTGAAGTCATAGGAGCCTGCAGCCAGCAGTAGGTTGGTAGGGTGCAGGTGGAAGCCGAGGACAGAGGAGCGGATGGGCTTCTTAATGTGCTTGCACACCCACCATTCTTGAAATAACAGATGGAGATGACACGGGAACCAATGCCCATGTGCAGTTCTCATTGTTCACACTGGGGGCCCAGCGCACACAGTGGGCAGCACGGTTGATTCTCAGGATGACCAGTGTGGGCTTTCACGTGCAGCCGTTCAGCGTCCACATACAGGTATTGCGGGTCTGTGCCACAGGTCACGATGTGGTTATCCTCAGGGGCCCAGTCGATGCCTGTCACCTGCCTGTTGTGCTCCTTGAGCTTGTGAACCTTGGTCCATTTGGCTCCACTCTTTGTAGATGTGCACCTCATGGTTGTTGGGGCAGATGGTGATTTATGTAGGATCCTTGTTCCAGGCTGGCAGCTGATGGGTTCCACCAGGACGCTGTGGTAAGCTATTTTCTGGGCCACTTGCTGCATGGGCACAGGGAGGGGCTGGCTCTACAAAGGCAGCAACCTTTCCACAGGGTGTCCTGCCCTCCCTGTGCCCTGCCACTCACAAAGCTCTGTGGTAAGGCCTGCCTGTGCCCAGCATAGATAGCCAAGGCAGGCACACAGCCTAGCTTTTCATTTTTATTTATTTTTATTTTATGTGTATGAGTGTTTGCATGTATGTATGTGCACCATGTGCATGCAATGGCCTGTGGAGCCAGTGCTCTCAGCCACTGAGCCACCTCTTCAGCCTGCAACCAAGCTTCTTATCATCCCTCCGTGCTACTCACTGACTGTGACCTTGGCTTTTGCAAGTCTCTACTTCAGCTTGCTCGTCTTTAAAATGGTCTTTGACTCCCAGGACAGCTGTAGGAAGGTGTGACTCTGAAGCCTGGGAGGGTCAGGTGTGAGATTTGTGCAAGTTCTGTGGTGGTGTGTGATGTTAACAGAATTTAGACCCCTCCCCCTAGCTCCACCAAATAAGAGACCCCCGGTTCTCACTATACAGCTAAGAAAATTGAAGGCCGGGAGCCCAAAGAGAGAGGGCGCTGTGCCTGTTGACACGGTGCCCATCGTCATCAGGCTGCATGCTGTGGGATCTGTGGCCTGTGGGCCTCTGTCCTCTCCCCCTGCATTGCTTATCTCTAAGCCTGTCCGTGACTAAGCCAGGCTGGCACAGGCTCACAGCCAGTCTTGGGAATACTGCCCAATCTCTCCTTGGCCCTTTTGACCCTCCTGCTCTGATGGCTGGCTTGATGCTCCAGGGCAGGTTTGAAGTCCAAAGCTAGCACTCCATGTATCACCTGGGAGCTTATTAAAGAGAGGGATTGTGGGGTTGGGGAGATGGCTCAGCAGTAAAGTGCTTGCCTTACAAGCATGAGGACCTAAGTGTGATCCCTACTTCTTCGTTCCACATGAGTAGGACTCTGCCTGAGGTTTGTTCTCAGAACCACAAGTAATGCCTGAATGGGGTCTTCCTGTGGTTTCTTGATTGTCAACTTCAAGAAATCAACTAAGAGACGTGCCTCTGGGTGGGTCTGTGAGGGTATTTCCAGGAAGGATTAACTGAAGGGAAAGACCCACCCCCAGAGTGGGCAGCACCTTCTGGCGATCCCCATATGAAGAAGTCAGAGGGAAAGGCAGCGCTGTCTGCTCGCCTTGGCTTCTTGCTGAGTGCACCTACTCAGCTGCCATTGCCACCACTGCCATCCTTCACTGATGTCAGAACTCAGCTTCTTCAGCCTTCTGACCTAGGCTAAAGACCAAGATTCCTCCAGGCCTTCATTGTCAGATTGGGCTGCTAGACATCCAGCCCATGGACCGAGCAGCCACCCCCCCCCCCCAGCCTCTCAGCCTCTCCAGCATACAGACAGGCATTCTTGAACTGCCCAGCTATACTATGTAAATCAATCCAATAAATCTCCTTGTAATATATTCATCCTATCAGTTCTGTTCATCTAAAGAATGCTGACTGGGGATTAGAGAGAAGGCTCAGTGGTTGGTTAAGAGTATTTTTTAAAAATTTTATTATTTTTATTTTATGTGTATGAGCATATCGCCTGCATGTATGTGAGTGCACCCATGTCATGCAACCTGTGTCGTGCAATGCCACAGTCAGGGCTTCAGATTCCCCTGGAACTGGAGTTAAGGACGGTTTGTAGCCACCATGTAGGTGCTGGGAATCGAACCCAGGTCCTCTGCAAGAGCAGTCAGTGCTCTTAACCTCTGAGCCATCTCTCCAGCCCCAGTTAAGAGTATTTTTTGCTCTTCCAGAGGATCTGGGTTTGGTTCCCAGCACCCATATGGTGGCTTACAACCACCTTTAACTCTAGGTTCAGGAGATCTGAAACCCTCTTCTGGCCTCTGTGGTCACCTACACACATGTGACATATACTTACATAGACACACACTCTTACACAAACAACCCCATCTAATATAAGAAAACAGTTCATCAGGCCCTTGGATTACAAAGCATGTGACCAAAACCTTTAATAAAAAAGGAATATGAAGACCCAATTTAGGATGTGTCAAAAAATACCCAGGTGACTGTCATCATGAAATAAAACTCATAAGCTCATTCTTCTGGAAGAGAAATACAGTCACCTGTTGTGATCAGAGAAAGATGTTCCAGTCAGTGAGAAGCAGTGCTGCGTGCCATGGTTACAATGGGCCACAGTTAACATGCCATCTCTAAATCAGATGTGGCAGTTGATTTTCTCTTCTCTGTGACAAAGTATCTGACAGAAATAACTTAAAGGAGGAAGGGTTAAGTCTGGTTCACAGTTTGAGTGCGTTTAGCCTGTCATAGTGGGGAAGGCATGGTGTTGATGGTGATGGGAGTCTGTGACTGGGATTCCACACATCTCGATGGACCAGGCAGCAGAGAGCTTGGGAGTGGGGCTAGCTATAACCCTCAAGGCCCACCCACCTGAGATACACTTCTTCCAGCTAGGCATCACCTCCTAAAGATTTCACAACTTCCCCAAACAGTACCACCATCTGGGGACCAGCTGTTCAAACATAAGAACCTGAGGGCAACACTTCATATCCAAACCAAAGAAATAAAATTACTCTCTGTTATTCATGTTTAGGTTTTGTTCCAGTTCTCTTAGAATATACCCATTTATTCCCTTCATCTTATGCCTGTCAGACTCATCCTTTGATACCCTGCTCAAATGGCTCCTGCTCACTTTGTGACACCCAGCCCAAATGTCCTTTTCTTCCCATTTAGCCTCATTAACTTCTTTACACCATCTTTAAGTGTCTGGAACAAATGCAAATGACCTTTGGTTTTGAGCTGGTTTTGTTCTTTCAAGGTAGCATAGGCTCACCTTCCTTCTGCCCCCAATAGGCTGTGGTCATATGGTCACAGGTACTAGGAAGTAGGACTTGAATGTATCTCTTTGAGATACAGTACAAACAGTGATGGAAGGGGGTACAGCTATGGACAGTTGGAAACTAGCTTTGCTGGTAATTTTCTTAGGAGAGGTTTTGACCCCTCTCTGTGGTGTGGTGATGGGCTGGAGTCAGTTTGGATCAGATGGCAAGGGCTCTATATGTGTGTCTCCTCCAGATTTGCATCCAATGGCATCATGCTGCCAGTCAAAATACACCATGGTGGAAATATTTACACCAGAGAAATTCATGAGTATTATCAATTAGTTTTATTGTTTGTTTGTTTTTCCCTTCGTGTTGGTTTTCTACCACTATCACAGAGATCATCAAATTAAAACAAAGAACAACTTATTTTGGATCATGGTTTTGTATGTTTTTGTCCACAGTCACTTGGCCCTGTTATGCTGGGTCTGCAGTAGTACAGTGTGCTGCAATGGGAGCTCATGGTGGAGGAAGTTGCTGATTTCAGGGTGGCCGACAAGTAGAGAGAGAGGAAGAGGAAAGGCCAAGATTCCTTCAAATGCATACCCTCAGTGACCTAACTTCCTCCCACTAGGCCACTCCTATAAAAGGTTCTATCATCTTCCAGTAGCATCATGGGCTGGTGATCAGACCTTCAACACATAGTACTTTGAGGTCACTTTTCCAAACCGTAGTAGCTGTTCCCCCTCATTTATTACCTCCCTAATACTCTTGCTTTCCTTGGCCCTCTGGACTGTCCAGATTATGGGCCAAATGTGCACTCTGTCAGAGAACACTCCCCAGAGACATGTGAGGATGGCCTGCATGTGGGCTTGGCTGAGGGGCACAGGCAGAACACAGAGCATCTGCCACATGGGGCCAGGCAGGCGCACTTCCAAATTCCATCCATCCCCCCCCC